GATAACATACTGTCGGCTTTGTGATCGTATTTCTTAATATCACTCATGCCTTAGAAGCAGCTCCTTGGTGTGAATGCAGACAGGCCTGATAGATCAGGTAGGGCTCAGGCAGTTGGGTGAGAAAACTGTAGTTGTGGAGAAACAGTCTGGTAGTTGCCCAGTTACCTAAATGAATGTTTGAATAGCTTTGTCCTGTTTCCTAGACTGCTAGCATTCACATCATATTTACCCTCTCTGGTGCTGATAGCTGTGATGTTCTGCTGCCTAACAGGGTTATTAATTAATCAGTTTTGCTGAAGAACACATGCCTCTGTCAGAATGAGTGCTGTCATGTTGCATTGGCCATTGGTGATAAATGTACAGCAGCGTTTCTTCTCATGTGAAGCCTTAAGGATAATCAAATATTTCTAGAGAAAGACTTCATGAAGTCCTCGTGGCTGTCAGATTGCCAAGGGAAGCAGAAACGCTTCAGAAATCCAGATGACTGCACTGGGGACAGGGGACAAGGCTTCAGCTGATGTCACTGAAGTGCCTGTTGTTCTAGATGCACAGCAGTTTTTGTGAACTGGTGAGAGAGCAGACTGGGTAATCCATCTAGCAAAAAAAAAATCTCATCAACCCAGTAAAACAAATACTTAGGTTGATGAGATAATGTTTAATTCACCTAGCTAAATGATTGGCATGTACTGGCACAGCAAGGCTAAGAAGTATGGAGGAGTCATCTTGGGAGGGAAAAAAGTTGTTGATAATACAATTTTTTTTATTTTTATTTTATTTTTTAGAAAAAGCTTTTTGTCCTTTGACAGGTTTACATCATGCATTCTCACTGGACTTGCCATAATTGCAGGACAAACTGAGATGTTGTCTTTTTTTTGTCCCTGCAGCTTTGAGGGGAGTAGTCCCCTGCTGGAACGAGTATTTAATTTGTCACAATCTTCAGAAATAAGAAGATTCCTGAAAGAAGAATGGGAAATGCATCAGTAAGGCTGTAGAGAAAGATGGCTGCTGAGTGAAGTGAGGCATCTAGAGAAAACCAGAAAAAAACAAAGTAGTTGAGATAGTCTAAATGGGGTAGAGGTTGAAATAAGCAGTAGTGCCTCTGAAATATGGTCGCTTAGGGAAACTACAGGCATTGAAGACAAACTTCAGCAAAATACACTGAAAATAGAATCATAGAAAGGCCTGGGTTAAAAAGAGCCACAGTGCTCATCCACTTCCAACCCCCTGCTGTGTGCAGGTCACCAACCAGCAGACCAGGCTGCCCAGAGCCACATCCAGCCTGGCCTTGAATGCCTCCAGGGATGGGGCATCCACATCTCCTTGGGCAACCTGTTCCAGTGTGTCACCAGTTCTTAATCCATCAAACAGTCCATCCTTCAAGTCCACACCTCTCCAATGTAGAGAGAAGGATGTGGTGAGGGACCGTATCAAAGGCTTTGCAGAAGTCCAGGTAGATGACATCCATCACCCTTCCCTATCCACTGGAGCCGTCACTCCATCATAGAAGGCCATCAGATTGGCCAGGCAAGATCTGCTGTTGGTGAAGCCATGCTGGCTGTGTCAGATCACCTCTTTGTCTCATATGTGCCTTAACATAGCTTCTAGGAGGATCTGCTCCATGATCTTCCCATGCATAGGGGTGAGACTCACTGATCTGTAGTTCCCTGGGTCTTTCTTTCTCCCTTTCTTAAAAATGGGAGTAATGTTTCCCTTACTTCAGTTACCAGAGACTTCACCAGACCACCATGATTTTTCAGATATGATGAATGGCAGCTTGGCAACCACACCAGCCATCATCTCTCTCAGAGCACTGGGATGCATGTCATCCAGCCTCGTGGACTTAAACACTTTCAATTTCATGAGGAGGTCTTGGACTTGTTCCACTGTTACAGTGGGACAGAAACCACTCCCCACACCCACACGTAGAGGTTCAGGGTCCTGGCAGACACGGGAAACCTGATAGTGAAGACTGAGGCAAAGCACTCCTTGAGTACCTCAACTTTTTCCACATCTGAGGAAGCCAGTTCTCCGTGCTCATTTATCAGAGGGGGAGCACTCTCCTTGATCTGTCTCCTCCTGCTTATGTGCTTGATGAACCCCTTCTCATTATTTTTCACATCCCTCGCCAAGTTCAGCTCCATCTGCACCTTGGCTTTCCTGATCTTATCTCTACACGTGCAGACAACATCCCTGTATTCCTCCCAGACTACACAGTCCTGCTTCCACTTCCTGTACATTTCCCTCTTTCCCTCAGTTTAAGCTGCAGGTCCTTGCTCAGCCGTGCTGGTCACCCACCTTGTCAACAGGTTCCCCTGATCAGGTGGCCTGTAGCAGACCCCAACCACTAGATGCCCCTTACTGGACTGATCCCTGATTTTCACCAGTAAGCTCTCAACTCGGTCATGACTGTTAGTGAGACACAGCTCTTTGCAATTTATCCTCTTCCTAACATAGAGGGCAACTCCCCCTCCCCTCCTACCCTGTCTATCCTTTCTGAAGAGCCTGTAGCCCTCAATCACAGTGTGCCAGTCTTGAGATTCATCCCACCACATTTCCATGATAGCCACCAGATCATAGTTTTCTAAGCCCATTACGGTTTCCAGCTCCCCCTGCTTATTTCCCATGCTGTGTGCATTAGTGTAAAAGCACTTCAGCTGGGCTTTCTGATACATAACCTTTCCAGAGGGGCCCCCTTCAAACCTCTGTATTTCCCCACTTCTTCCTAGAGGGACATGAGCAGGTTTTGGACGGGGGACTGGCAATGTTACCTCTTCTAAGCAGTTTCAAGAAGATCCTGCAGGGCAGTTCAGAGTTTTTTCCCCCAGTAACTGCAATAAAATAGGAATTGTGGCTTGGCACAGAGAAAGAGACAGGAAATGTTCCAACCAGTATAACCGAAAAGAGATGGAAGCATTTTGAAGGAGGTACCAGGGTGATCAAACTGGTTCAGTTTTCAAGAAAGAAATTTTTCACACAGAAAAACTGCATCCTGTGGCTTTTACAAGTATGCAGTACTTTAGAGGATGTTCATTGCTTTTTCAGATGTGTATGTTATCCTTTGTGGTTTGGCTGGGAACAGAGAGACTAAGAGAAGGCACAGTGTGCATCCGGGACGTGGGAAAGTTTGCTCACCCTTGTGCGAACTTCTCCCTCAACTGCATTTGACTTCCAGTTGCATTCCATGTTATGAGAATCAAAGAACCAAGATGATTTTCTTTTCTTCTACTATTTCAGTTCAGTTGTTAGCAAATGTAAACTTTACTTTCTCGTTCCTTGACTGATCTCGTATGCTTCAGGACGTTACCTGCTAATAGCCCTAGCTCTCTTCCTACTTAGTGAAAGATGGAATCCATGTCATATCAGCTATTTTCAGGAATCAGTGGGACTTGATAGCCTGCGGGCTGATGTAAAGTTGTCAGAGAATGGTTGGAGGAGAGGATCAGAAGAATGAAATATGAAAATAAGAGTCATAGGGGAGTGTGTGTATACAAACCATTTTTCTTGCTTTTTTATTAACACGCTGTTTATTGATATAATGAATAAATCATTGCAATAATTATTCATTAAAAATAATACCATGCTTTGTCTTTTTCGTGCCTGCTCTTTTGTTCCTTTTGTGAACCTCCCCGTGAGATTCAGAAAAAAAAAACGTCTTGAGATTATTAATAATTTTTCATGCCATTAATAACAGAAGTTGTTCCTTTTGCATCCATTCTGTAGGAATTTTAGTCTCAGCTAAAGGCTGCAGCCTTGTCTTACTGCTTTGAAAGTTGCTTCATTTGTTTTCAGCTCATGATGCCCATTCATACACTAGTAATAACAAAGTAGACAGATATTTTAAACACAAAAACAATCTAATACTAATTTTTGGTCAGTGGTAAAAATGCAGTGGGCATGATTAAAGCAAGAGAAAGAAGAAGAAAATAATGGATTTGAAAATAATGTGTTCTTGACTTTCATTGAGAGTAGACAGATTGTCAGACACATGATTATTAACCTGAGGGCTAAATGACCATTAATTTCACTTAGGTCAGTAGAATAACATCATATTAAATTGAAATCGGGCCTTATCAACAGTACCATTTGTCATCTATCAGTTTTAACACAAACCAGAATACTTAATCCTCAGTCTTTCCTCTGTTGAGTATTGCTCAGAATGTTTCTGCGTTTGTATGGATGGATTATTCAAGTAAAACAGAATACTTGAATTGTTGTGTGGACGTTATTTGTTTGTATGATTTCATTTTTGAAATAGCTAATGCTGGCTCTATACCACTAGAAGCTAAATATCAATTAAGGAATTTTGTTCTGATGATGACTGGTTATGTGGTGGTAGAGATAAAGATTTTGTTGTAAAAGATGTTGTAGGATATTAGAAGTAGGTTTAGAATCTGCTTTTTAAAGGTTTAAAATTCTTCTGTGGATTGTTACGAGTTTAAAGCAGTTAGAATATTGGCTCTTAAACAGTACATTTCAATTCTATCTTGAGAAGCATTTCTGTCTTACTGTGATAAGAGCCCTTCATTATCATGGTAGTAGTAAATAACTTTTCCTCGTGATTTATTTGTCTATTAGAGAAATAATTATTTCAGTGGTGAGTTGATGAGTATCTCGATTCATACAGCATGCCTGGCTTTGTTAAAAAATCTTATCTTTTTTTGATTCTTTTTCTATTTCTAAGTATTGCCCTTTTTTAAAATACAAATTCTATCTGTCTAAGTCCCACAACTTTGTTGTGAGGCTCTGTACCAAAAAGTTATGTTTATTTTCTCCCAGCTAATTAGTATTTTCATAGCACAAATGGTCATAAGATAGTGGTGTTGTATCTTAATTATCCTGAGTGTGAAACAGTTCTATTTTTAGCTTTCTTTATTACGTAACTTCCTAAATGTGTAACTTGCAGACTTGCATTATTTAAAAGAGTAGTACCAAACAATGTATAATCACTTTACACATTTGGTGTTTCTCCCTCAACCAAAAGTATTTCGTTTCCTTTATAGGAAGGAGGCACAGCTGGATGAAGAAGGCCAGTTTCTTGTCAGAATAATATATGATGATTCCAAGACCTATGATCTGGTTGCAGCTGCAAGCAAGGTTCTTAGTAAGTAATACGGATATCTTTTTGACCAGTCATTACATGTAAGATTGAAAACTACCACAAACAGGAAAGTCCACATAGCAGAGAGAAACAGGACTTAGCACAGACAATGAGAAAACATAATAATGGTTGGAGATTAAAAAAAATAGCAGAAGAATGGATTTTATTGTTATTTATTTACCTCAAATATTTTTATTCCTTTTATTCCTTTAAGTGGTTTGTATTACTTCTAAGTAATATTCCAAGTCGTAGATACACCTTAAATTGTAGTAATGTATCTAATCCACAAGTCATCAGAGTTACAAAATGGTCATGAAGTAACAATGTATCACTGTAATGACCTTGCTAATGCACCCAGATTTCAATCACTGCTGTAATAGCGTGTCCTTCTGTGTCCTTCTGCTCTCCTTCTGCTCTCTGCTTAACAAAGATGCCAAGTTACGGAATGATTTGTGACACGTCTTATTTCATATCTGCTGTTTATTTGGGTAGCATTCATTTTCAGTCGTTGCAACACTGTCCTGCAGTTTGAAAGGTATAATTATACCCATCAGCTTTCTTTTATCTGCAGACCCAAACTGGTTGTCATGTTGAATTGATGCAGCTGATGTAGTTCAATGCTGTTGTAAACCAGAAGTAACCTCCCAGAGTCAGGTGTTGCTGAGTTCCTTTATTTGCAAGTAGTGCTTCCTTATCTGTATCAAAATCTAAGCTGCTACACATAGACAAAATGCATAAAGGTTATCTGTAAATCCTCCTGAAATTCCTGAATATGTACTGAATGTACTGTATATGCATTGCTTTTTTATGCACTCTGACTCTTGTCTTCATATTCTTGGCCTTCTGGATCTGGGTGCAGTCTAGGTATTGTTAATGTGTGAACTAAATCACATTTTCCTGTTTTTACTAGATCTGAATGCTGGGGAAATTCTTCAGATGTTTGGGAAGATGTTTTTTGTGTTTTGTCAAGAATCTGGCTATGATACAATTCTGCGTGTTCTGGGCTCAAATGTTAGAGAATTTTTGCAGGTAAGATTTTTATGCCAAACTATTCCAGATACAGGGGACTAGACAGGAGTATGGTCTAGCCAACAGGTTAGAATGGAATGTAGAAATAAAAGTTGTACTCTGTAGCTTTATTTGTATAGAGGTATGAAGGATACATGCCTTGGTATTTGTATTCTATAGAGCTTTTCTCTGCTTAGCAGTTGTGGCATTGCTGTTCTGTATCCCTCTTGGTTAATATACTTTTCAGTTACCTGTTAAAGTACTATTTTTCCCTTTGAACAGTTCTCTTTGTTTGATTTCATGAACAGTGAGTTGAGAAGGCAGGTAAGATGGCATTCATAGAAGCATTCATACATCTGAAATTTAATTTGAAGCTACGAAGAATAAGTTAGAACAGGAATTTTCATAGGTAGCAAAAGCATGGAGTGTAAGAGACATGAAAAAAACACCAGACTGCCTGTACATGTTAATTAAAAGGGCTTTATGTTGTTTATATTAACAGAAAACGTGGTCTTCAGGCCTGTAGGATATTTCTCATCCAGAGTTCTCTTTGACTAATTATAGATGTTATTTATAATTCTACGTTATGTACAGAGCTAGGGCTCACACACAGCTTGTTTCTAAGACAGGAAATTGTTTTTGTACGTGAACTGAGGGTGGGATAGAGCAGCTATCCTTTTTTTGTGTTTTCCTAACTTCAGAACATTGTGACATTGTGCTGTAAACCAAAACAAACTGGAAGTAATTTTTCAGTAGCATGGAAAAAATGTAATGACCTCTCTGAAGTGTGATTTCCAAGTGTAGCGAAGATGGGCTTCTGTTTTTTGTCACTTGAAAATTGTTCACTTCAAATACAGTTTTGTATTTGTTATATAGATTACTTCAAGGGTGAACTGTGTGCTGTAATGAGTTTAAAAACACTGAACTGATGAAGGTTTCACAGGAGGTTGCCCAATAGCTGTGTCAAACCTCTATTGATTTTCACTGGAAATTTAGCAGCATTTTGTCATCTTTTCCCTTAAAATTCTCTCTGGTAATAGAATGTGAAAGGAGCAAAGAGCCTACTTTGCTGAATTTCTGAGGTATTTACTTGGGCATCTCACTACTTGCTCTGAAACCTGTAGCACTGCAGAGCATCCTGAGTGTATTCAACCCAGACTTCTTTTACAGATCCCCAGTCTGTAATTGCTGGGCCAAAAGACAAGTTGTGTGTATGCTCCATCTGATGCATACCAAATGTGTGGTCTGTATACCACTGTTTGTCTGTGGGATTGGACGTCCATACTACCTTATAGCTCCATTCACAGGCTGCTCTCAAAGGATACATATGGATCAATGTAATTTTTAAAGATGTACTGAAGTTATGGTTGGGTTTAAGCAAGAATAGAAGGCAGGAAAAAAAGATACAGCCATCCAATTCCTCCATCGCTTTGAGTACACTTTGTTAGTCCTTTCTTCTTCCTTTCTCTCATCACTTTTTCCATCCAGTATACTCATCTTTCTGTTCCTTAGTATGAATAATGATGGACACATTTGTAGTACATACCAAACCCCTGGAAAAGTATGAACTACATACATTTATATTCTTCTAATTAAAGTATTTTAGGCCGTTTTGTTTGCATTTCAGTGCTAGAAGATGACATTAGTCATTATGTACTCCTGTAAATTGTAACAAAACAGGTGTGTTAGTAATTGTGCCAGCAGTGTACTTTCCAGCTTTTAATTATGATGGAAAATCAACATTATCCATGATTTATTGTTTTTGCAGCTTCTAACAGACAGATTAGGTCAGGAAGCTTATTTATATACTTACTAAAATAGGTGCAGATTGAGTTTGATGTGCTCACTTTTTGTCAGATTCTTAAAATATATGGTATGATTCCAAAAGCACTTCTTGAAACCTGTATTAAGCCCAGGAATGTGTGAAAATTATAGAGGGCTGCAGGTTTTTTAAGTGTGTGAAAATAAATCTCATGTTTATATTCTATTTTCCTTGACATTTCAGAGATAATTCAGTTTATTCATAAATGAAACACAGATACTTCAGGCTTTAAGAAAGAGGAAGAAGACAGCACAACCAAATCTAATATTTATACTTTCTAGAAAAACATAGGGCTGGAAAAATTGCAAATCATATTGAAAGAAGACACTGTGCTGAGGAGGAGCAATGTGAAAAGATAAAGCCTCCTAAGCAACTCGAAGTGTGTTTTTGTTATATTCAGTAGCTTTCTACTGAAAGAAAATCAAATGCTGGAGTAGGGATTAGTCCTGTCTCATGTAGGAGATCATTTAGGTGGCTATTTATTTGTTTGTCATTTCAGTGCAGTGAATTTAAGTGGATTAATTCCTCTCATACAATACTTTCTCTGTGTGCTCTGTGCAGCACGGAGCTGAACAGTGTGTCTTTATATTTCAGGTGCCAGTCATAACTCTTTAAGACTGTCTAGGATCTGCCTGGTTTATTATTACTGTCCATGCTCATTCCTGCTTGGAGATCCTTTCATGTTTTAACAAGCTCTAGAATTAGTGTCTCTGGTACCAGCACAAGCTCTGGCATTCATCTGAGTAATCTGAGAGCAAAGAATTCAGGGAGAGAACTTAAACAATTATTATCTTTATCTGACCACTCCTCTGGCCTATAGCATGTGGACAGTCTAGGAAAAAAAGACATGGTCTTTTAGACCATTCAATTTAGGATAGGTCAAACACAAGACAAAATAGGGCTGCTGTTGGAAGTAACAGTGATACAATGTCTAAATGGCAGGATGTTGGAGCAGTTTTGGTGCCTTCATCTGGATGCACATTTCTACTGCTTATTAACTGCATACAGTAAGCACTTTGCTCACTCCATAGTCTGTATGCATGGGGGAGAAAAGATGCAGTGGATACTTCAGAGCTGCTGCAGTACATTCTGGACTGGTCCCCAGCTCAGAATGATTGGTGGTTCAAGACTAAAGAGCTTATTGCATGGATTCACATTTGATGTTTCTCGGACAAAGTCAGTAATGAGGTAGTAGGGTGGCAAAGTGATCATTCACAGTGGGGCTACCATCATTTGTTAGCAATGCTTCTGCCAGACTTAAATATTTATAATGAGACAGCCATACAGAAAAATTCTGTGCTTAACTTCTTCTGGAATTATGTTGATGACTGTAGAACTTGATAGTTTATCCTCTATTTCCATGTATTTCCTTAAGAGTCTTGTTTCCAAAATAGTTCTTAGCTGGTCCTTTAGCTTGTGTACCAGAAACACAGTTCTTAATGCAATTAAGGAGATTCAGGAGCACTTCCTTGGAGCTCTTGCTCTTTTCTCACCCACATCTCACAAACTCTCTTCCAACTTAATTGCCTTGAGCCCCTTAATGATCTTACAGAATTTGCCTTCAAACATTTTTCTGCTTTTTGCAACTGAATGCTCATTAACAGCTGGAATAAATTGCCTCCCTCGCTGTTGCCTCTCCAAGTTTTAGTTTGGAGGTGTTGATATAGCAACAAAAACATGAGTTTGAAACAAACTAAAAAACTGAAGGAGGAAGCTCCAGTCTGGTTACATCCTACAGAATTCATTTCTAAGAGCCTCATTTCCTCTGGAGGCCTTCCAGGAGAAGAAGCAGCTGTTTAAGTGCTTCACAGCTCCCATGAAACGAAGTTCATTATGGTTCCATGGATTTGATGATTGAAAGATGCTCAGGAAAGGTGGAAAATGGGCCAACCAACACATTGAAAATATTTTCACCTCACTTTCCATTGTGCTAGAAGAAAATATTCAGGATCTGGTGATAGCAGTTGTGTGGGGGGTTGGGAGAACTACATTTGAAATATACGGTAATGATCTGGGTTTAGGATGTAAAGGAAGTATGTATGTTTTACAGCAGATAAATAGTTATTTGAGTTGCAACACCGTTTAGCAAACCAGGTTGCTTTTTGTGTATTGAACTCTATACAGTAAACAGCAAACTGGAGCCATGGTAATTGCTTCCTAAACAAAGTCAGAGCTGTCACTGTATTCTTAGTGTGGTTTTGATCTCTTTGTTCTCTTTATTATCCTCATTAGATATGCCTCTCAATTTCACATTTAGTTTTCCTGTCCAGATGTCAATTTGTCGTGTTAAAATTTAAAGTGAAATACATAAGATGTCCAAGACATCAGTTGAAAATATAAAAGACCTTTTTTCTCTTTCTAAACAAATGTTTTTCTGAAACATTTTCACAGTAGCCATGTTCTGTGAGTCCTGTTGGTTTTTTTTTCTCCTTATTCTCAAACATAGTCTATATTTGAGGTCAGCCCCTGTCAAATTGGTCTGGCTGCTATGATGATAGAGGTAGCCTGTTGTTTCACTGACAGCAGCGGAAAGATTGATGTCTATAAAAAGGTGCTTATTTGTGTTTGATGCCTAAATTCAAAGAAACTATAGGGGCTTGAATTTGGAAAGGATGCAAATGAGTGGGCTTTGGATTTGAGAAGTCCATACAGTCTTTAATCACCGTAGTTTTGAAATACAGCATAGTTGAGCATGGATTCTTACTTAGAGTAATTCTTTATAGTGCTAGTTTTGCTGCTGTTCATGTCCAAATGTTTTCACAGTAGGTGGAAAGAACACCTCGGGCTACCTGAAAAGCCTGCTGGGGGCTGTTTTAGAAGTAGTAAAACAAGTTTGAAGGGAGTGTGACCAACAGGAGAAGGGGTGGAGTCAGATTAGGCAAGAAATGTACTTATTTTGTTCAAAGCTAATAAGTGAATGTCTTATAATCATGTTTTAAATTTCTTCTTCTAGAACCTGGATGCTCTGCATGACCATCTTGCTACTATTTACCCAGGTATGCGAGCCCCTTCCTTCAGATGCACTGATGCGGAGAAGGGGAAAGGACTCATTCTGCATTACTATTCAGAAAGGGAAGGTCTACAGGATATTGTCATTGGAATCATCAAAACAGTAGCTCAGCAGATCCATGGTACAGAAATAGATATGAAGGTAATGCCTGAAAAGTTGTTCACATTTAAATGTTTACGTCATTAGAACAAAGACAAGAAAAGTGATGGCAAACAATCACTGTAATTGTTGCTGTCCTCTATGAAATGGTGGCTTTAAGAACTGACTCAAGAAAAGCCATTGTTGTTTGAGTTGCTTTAAAAACAGGTCAGTCATGTGGTGAGAAGGCCAGCATTAATTTGCAGGCAGACCCATTCAGGAACAGTTCAAAACAATGTACACTGATTATGCCATACTGGAGGGCAGATCCTCCTTCCGGCCTGCATTGGAAGTCCTTCCCAGACAAATACATGTTTGTGATTCAGATAGTACTGCAGGGTGGGATTGTGACCGAATAGGCAGCTACAGCCCCAGAAGTGGAAAAATGTTCCTCAGTCATGCAGTTTACCTGATATGTGTGTGCTGTCACTTGTGAAATGGGAGACTCCTGTTTTCAGTTGATACAGAGTAGCAAACAGGTTTAATTCATTAGGCCTTGCATGAGTAACTGAATAAAAGCAGAGTGTAACACATGGTTAGGTTCAGGTATAGGCTGAAACCAACAATATAAACACTTCTTGGCATTAGAAATGTAACAACTCATATTAAATACTTTACATGAAGTAGAAAAGAATCTAAATGTGTACAGCAAGCTTTCTTTTTTGTTTCAGCTATTGTTAACTATTCTACTTTTCAAGCTGAGTTACATTGTATACGTCAGCTGAAATAATGTTTTGTTTTAGCATGAATCTGGCTAAAGCCTAAAATCAAAACAATGCTTCAGTGTAATGTTCATTCAGTCATTGCTGTAAAGTATTTTTGTTTCATCATTTTCTTGCTTATGCAAGAGATTTATAAGGGCTCCCATGACAATGGTAATTACTACTGCTATCTTGGAGCATTTGCCTTTCAAGTTTCTTGTTATAAGCTCAGGTTTATAGTGAATAGCTTTTGCTATATGGTGATGATGATGTACTTATGTCCTTTGTTTAAATTCTGCTTGGTAGAAATCCATATTTACAGCAGGTGTTAGTAGTCAGGGAAGGATGCAACAGAATTAAAACAATCCTCTTTGTACGTCCCTGTTTATTCAGCTTCTTCTGCTGTGTCCCTTCAGCTGTTATGGAGCTATAAAATAAACTAGATGGAGGAAGTGAACTAGGTTCAAAATAACATTTGTTTTTCTGGGTTATTTTTATCAGTATCTGTTCCCTTATGGTATTTGGTTTTCTTATGTATCACAGGGAGTTCTGCCAGCATAATCACAGGATTGTACAGAGGCAAAAGTGATCAGTGGGGCAGGGGATAAATCCAGGTTGTTCAAAACAGCTACCAGAACAAACTTCTGACAAATCGTGTTTTCAGTCTGAATGTTACTTTCTTGGGAAGATCGTATTGGAAAATACCAATGCTCGTGCTCAGCTTGTGTTCACAAGGACCTTTTCTGCAAATTTCAGCTGGGCAATCCTCAACATATGCAGGTGCTTAAGGTTACTTCTTCCTAGGTGCAGAGTCCATACTTTCATTTTTTGCACATCATTAAGTTTCTGTCAGTCAGTCCAGTCTCTCTGATGGCAGTGTGACCATCTGGCATGTCAGATACTCTTCCCCACTTCATCATATCATCAGCAGTCTAGTCCCATCATCCAGAATATTAGTGAATAAGTTGATAGGATTGGATCCTGTATTGACCTCTGGGGTACATGGCAGCCCAATCCTATTCTGTTTGCTTGTTTTTCAGATATTCCACAGCCCTGGAATTAATTTGTAGGCATTTCCAGTGTCTTCTGAATGGGGTGCAAAGAGAAACTAAATAATCACATGATCACATGAAGCAAAATAAATATTGAGGAAAAATACATTGTGTCTTTTGTTTCCTAGATTTTTTCTTTGGTTGGAGAAATGGCCAAATAGAAAAAAAAAGAATGTTTAATTTTACCCTCTTTCTGCAGTTTTACCCAGAACTATTCTCTGTAGACATGCATACATAGAAAGGCATGTTCTTGTGGTATACAGTTGCTCTTTTTCCAGAATGACATCCTTCAGGAAAGGTGCCTTTTAATGTTCAAGGTATGTGTGAGCTGAAGGCAAGGAAGAAAAAAGATCTGATTTTGTCTCTGTTAAACTCTACTAGTACCAAATGGAGGTTATTTTTTTTTTGAACTTGGATTCACAGTTGCAACACAGTAGACCAGGGAAGCCTACCTTGTCAGTAGTCAACCGATTAATTCAAATCCAATTTGCTTTATCTTCCCTGATACCATAATCCATTTTAGCTAAATGGAGTTAAGAATATAATTTTTTTGCAGTAAGTACTGTCCTAAGAATTGTTCCTGACTTTGAGAATGCACTAAAAATATTTATGTTCTGCCTGTCTCAGTATAAGGACTAAAAATCTTCACATTACTGGTTACTGACACTGGCATAAGATCTCTGTTAGCAGCCTTCTGGCTGTACCTTCTCTTGCTTTGCTTGTCAGAGGTTGTTTGTGTATAAAGGTGAAGGTGAAGTCAGAACAGAGATTCTCTCAGGGCTACAAATGATACAGGACAATGAGGAATGTTGGAAAATCCTACAAAGCCAAAAGAATATGTTGGGAAAACTGACTTCTGCAGTTCTGTTATTATGTAAGAGCACATTATCAAAATCTATCTTTTAGACTGGAAGGAAAAATGGTTTACAGTAGCAAATGAAAGGGAGCTAGGGAAAATTCTTGTCAAGGTGGTAATTTCTAACTGTCATTACTAGTGACAATCCAAAAAATAAAGCCAGAATGTGACCTCCTGAGAAGCTGTCCTAAAAACTGGTTGGGTACTTGTCATTGAGAACAAGCAATACTAAGCCATATATTAAAAGGTTACCTTTGTATGAAGATGAGGAAATTGCAGAGCATAATCAGCCTCTAATTCTGATGCAAGGGCACCTGGAAATGTCACCAGCTCAAGACTCAGAGGTTCAGTAAAGTGAGACAATCTGCACCTTGAAACCAACTGACAGATGTAGACAGCCCTTCAGTTTTCACCTCGGATGTACAAAGCTAACAATGGTGCCACTTCCACACTAAACTGATTTGCCTCACGACCTCCCTGGAACAGATCTAGTGAAATGTATCAAGTGGCATTGCATGGTCAGTTTTGATCACAAGGGATCAAGAATTTTATCCTGTATTCAATGTTAAATGGCAAAAACCTGTCTTTGTATTCAGCTTTACAATCCAAAGGAAAAATATATTGTCCAGTAACATTCTGTCTCTTCCTAATGCTGCAATACAAATCTGTATTGTGGAACTGTTTGTAACTGAGTCATTTCTTGCAGGAGTATCAGTGGAAGTTTTAACAGATAGCATGTGTTCAGTATACATGCTGTAACACACTGATACTACTTTCTTATGTGTCTTGTGTGAAGCTCACCAAACAAACCACAGAGTCATTTTTATTGAAATTACATCTTCTGAAAAGCACAGGTGGATAACCAGTAAGATGTTATATATTCTCTTTGAAAACAGCAGAGAGATTTCCCCTCAGTTTTTAACTGCTGTTACTATGGTGATTGTGCTCTTACATGTGGTGAGCTGATGTCACTTCAGCTAAGACCAGAGATGAAAAGAAATAGCTTGGCTCCTGGCTTTGTCATTTCTGTCACTGAACTTTCATTTGTCAGGCATTTTATAGATGCTTCCTCAGTAATATTTAAAGTGATGCTGAAATTCTGTGGCTTGCAAACTAGGCTGGTGTAACGAGACAATAGGAGAGTTCCATCCTAGTGAAGATTATCAATAGGAGAGTTCCGTCCTAGTTAAGCTTATTTCATAGTTTGTAGGGCAGGTCATTATGCCAAGTAAGTATCTAATCAAATAGGTTGGACTTACAGAAGTGAAAGGAAAAAAATGTATTGTGTTAAGTTATGGCCAGAAGTGCTGATTTTAAACTTCCTGACAAATAAAAGTCCTGGCTATTCAAGGAAACATGACTAGAATTTAATTACTCTGGATGTCACTATAAGTCAAGAACACTCCCAGAGGATGGGGTATGTCTGAGCAGATAGTCTGAGTTATTCTGTGTACTATCTCATTACCTTATTGAGCATGACTTTCATCTTCTAGGATGGCAAAATACATACTTGTATACTGTCCTGGATTCAGCTGGAACAGAATTGATTTTTTTTCTTCAGAGCGTTTGATACGATGCTATGTTTTGGTTGGTGTTCAGTTGTTACTGAGCACTGCTGTATGAACAGAGGGCATTCCAGGTTTTTGGCTTCTTTTACTGTCCTGCCAGCTGGGGTGTCTGAGAGGGCACAAGGAGCTGAGCGGGACCAGGACAGCTGACCTAAACTGTTCAAAGGTAAATTCTGTATCATAAGACATCATACCAAAATACCCATGAAAAATTGGGGGGAATTGGCCAGGGGAGCTGCTGCTGCTTGGAGACTGGATAAGCATTGGTTAGTGGATGGTGAGCAATTGCTTGTCTGTCACTTGTTTTGTATATATATATATATATGTATATTATTATAATTACTATTATTTTTATCTTCCTTTTCTGCCTTAGTAAATAGTTTTTACCTCAATCTACAAGTTCTACTTTTTTTTTATCTGATGCTCTTTCACCTATCGCAGTGAGGAGAAGAGGGGGGAGGTGAGTGAAAGTCTCTGTGGTGTTTAACTGCCTGCTGGGTTAAACCACAGCACGTATATATTTATACATTAAATTTTGGAGATTGAATTTTATCTGTATCTCAAATGCCTCAGAGAAGAGGAAGTCTAAGTTGTTTGAGGTTGATGAAATGACAAGATAGAAAGATTAGCTAGTGCATAAATGAGGTGAACAGCAAAGGCATGAAATTGCATATCCATAGGGTGTTATTTAAGGATGAATCAGTAGCTTACTTAGCCTGTAGAGGGATAAAAGTGTAGCTTCCCTTAATAATGGCCTGTGCAAGGAGGGCCAGAACAAAACCTCAATAAGCCTTCTACATCCATAGCATATCAGTATTACTAATAGTGTTCAGCCGGCACAGTGGCTGTATTGTGAATCTGTCACGTTTCCATGTGGTTGGCCTGTGGTGCGTCAGCTCTGGTACAGCCAGCACGGCTTCACCAAGGGCAGTTCGTGCCTGACCAATCTGGTGGCCTTCTATGATGGAGTGATGGCATCAGTGGATGGGGGAAGGGCAATGGATATCATCTACACAGCCTTCTGCAAAGCCTTTGACATGGTCCCTCAGCACATCCTGCTCTCTAAATTGGAGAGGACTTGAAGGATGAACTGTTCAGTAGATTAAGAACTGGTTGGCTGGACGCAGCCAAAGGGCTGTGATCAATGGTTCTGTTCAGGGTGGAGGCCGGTCACAAGCGGTGTCTCTCAGGGGTCGGCCTTGGGACCAGTGCTCCTTCAGCATCTTCATCACTGACACAGATGGTGGCATCGAGTGCACCCTCAGCAAGTTTGCAGATGACACCAAGCTGAGTGGTGCAGTCGATATATTGGATGGAAGGGAAGTCATCCAGAGGGACCTGGACAGGATGGAGAAGTGGGCCCATGTGAACCTGATGAGATTCATCAAGGCTGTGTGCAAGGTGTTGCACTTGGTCTGAAGCAATCCCAGGTATTTATACAGACTGGGGGAAGATCTCCTTGAGAGCAGCCCTGCAGAGAAGGACTTGGGGGTCCTGGTGGACGAGAAGCTGGACATGAGCCAGCAGTGTGCGCTTGCAGCCCAGAAGGCCAACTGTGTGCTGGGCTGCATGAAAAAAGGGGTGGCCAGCAGGGAGAGGGAGGTGATTGTCCCCCTCTGCTCGGCTCTTGTGAGGCCCCATCTGCAGCACTGCGTCCAGGCCTGGGGCCCCCAGCACAGGAAGGACGTGGAGCTCTTGGAGCGGGTCCAGAGGAGGGCACTGAGATGGTCAGAGGGCTGGAGCAGCTCTCCTCTGAGGAAAGGTTGAGGGAACTGGGCTTGTTTAGCTTGGAGAAGAGAAGGCTGCAGGGAGACCTCATTGTGGCCAATGGTCCAGTCCAGTACTTGAAGGGAGCGTATAAATAGGAGGGGCAACGGCTGTTTACAAGGGTGGATAGTGATAGGGGAATGGGGAATGGTCTTAAACTGAGACAGGAGAGGTTTAGATTAGATATTAGGAGGAAGTTTTTCACTCAGAGGGTGGTAAAGCACTGGAACACGTTGCCCAAGGAGGTTGTGGGTGCCCCATCTGTGGCTGGATGTGGTTGGCGAGCCTGCTGGTGGCAGGGGTTTGAAACTAGATGATCATTATGGTCCTTTTCAACTCAAGCCATTCTATGATTCATTCTATCAGCTTCTCTTGATGCCTAGGAGTCTACAGATGAACTTGAAGATACCTGAAAGACTTGCAGCTTTGTACTGTTGTGACACAGTGACAGCAACCTTTATCCATACAGGTTAGGCAAATAGTACATCATGGGCAGTGGCTGATTTCAATCCCATGAGAGCTGTAGTAACTGCATGTCTTAAAGCATGCAGCAGTCCTAATTTAATGTTGTTTCTTGTTTGCTTGTTTGTTTTTAAACTAACACTGGAGTTTTGTTTATTGATGTATTATTTATTCTAATAAAAAAAAAATAGAAGTAGTAATGGAAAATTCCTTTCTGTGCCGCATGGTAGCAGGAAAAGAACTGTGAGTAAAGGTGTAGCATGATAACAAAGTACTGGTGTGCACTGACTGATATGGTCATTAGGTGATGATATTAATTTCTTGGAAAGGTCATGTACTGTCAATATAAATATTTCCTGAAAAATATTGGATTTTTAAAACTTATATGACTGCATTGCTGGATGGTGAAGCTTTTTTATCCCAATTATGTATTTTTGCTGGCAAGAGCAACTCTGAAGTAAGATCCAAGACTAAAAATCATCTGAAAGCATAAATCAGTTTTAGCAGTAATTCTGCAGAATTTGAAAAAGGTTACTGTGTATAATCTCAGCTATGCCTTGGCCATAATAATAGTAATAATGAAATAAAACCTGTAAGTGTGCTAACGCGTGAGGGAAAATAAGAACTAAGATGCTACCTGCATTTCATCAATCCTCAGTATGGCCGCAGACTCTCTCAATTACAGGGATAATGAAGGGATTTAAATGAAGAGGAGGATGTGGAAGACCCTTAAGTTGTGAATTCAGAAGAAACCTAGGATACCATCTACTATGTTCTGCTTTACTAGATATACCCATGTGATTTATTTTCTTCAAATGACCACTTTATACTCTTCCTGTAGCTTACCCCTTGTTAACTAATAATTTCCCATTTCTCTTTGTTACACACTGCCACGTGGATTACCAACAGAGTTTTTAAGAGAAAGTAAGCATTGTCATCATTAACATTTGAGCTTGTTCTTACACCCAGCTTCAGGTACCTGCATTGGTTGGTAAATGGTAGGCTGATCTTTCTCTAAGTTACACACTCAATAGAAAATTTACTGCATCACATTATATAGAGCACTTAAATTAGGTTCTGACTCTGAATTGCCCTCCAGAAGAGCCTGTCTTTCCTTTAAATCTATATTCAAGTAGGGGATTAAGGAACACTACCCTCTTAAATTAAGCAACATTTAGCAATAAAATATTGTTTTGTTGCTTTATGCTGCTGCATGTGAATAGGAACAAATGAAGTATCATCACTCCCCAGCACACCAGCTAACATGCTTAGGAGGGGAAGTGTTTAAAAGTCTAAACATCAGTGTTTGTGCATATCTACTTTTTTTTTTTTTTTATTTTAACCATTATTGTCTGTCACTAGATAATGTGTAAAAGGCAGACTTAGAATGCATTAGGGATTTTAAGAAGTCCTTTTTCTTTTTTAATTGCTTCAGTAGGTTTAGGATCAGACTTTAGGTAGAAGTAGAATAAGGTGCAACATGTTCCAAAAAGTTGCTGTTTAACAGTACTGTATAAATAGAATTGTTCTGTTCCAGTCATTAAACCTAATTAGACTTGAGAAGAGGTGAGTTTGGCCTCTCAAGGTAAATTGTGCTATTCTATTAATTATTAGCTTTAATTATACTACAACGTACAACTCCCTGGAAACAAAATAATCCTTTTTAGTTTTGTCTTTTTGACTAACTTTAAGCAAATTTACTGAAGCGAAATGCTGTATTCAAGACATTTATTTATGATTTTGCTGATGTAAATTTTGCTGGAATTTAATACAGAATGTAACTCGGAGAAGACTGTAATTGCTTCTAGTTTGGTTTTTTTTTTTTTGAGCATGATCTTGTAGTCAGCACTGCTTGCTTGGGCAAGGGCTGTGTATCCAGACCTCTGCTCCCTTTGCCGCTCTTCTGGCTGGTTATGACATGCCCACCTCTGCTCAAGCACTGTTTGCTGTTATGTTGCAGGCCTTGCAAACAGCTTTCATTAAAATAAGGATTCAAGTGCCTTGTGAAATTCAAGACTCGCAAAAGGTCCATTCAAGGAGAGGAAGAATCTTATTGTGTGACATATACCAATGAAGGCAAGCTTAACATGAGCCTGAATCCCTGATTTCAGGATGTGCATTTCACTCAGGCAACATAGATTTCAGTGATATATTGTTCATGCAAAGAGCAACTGCAGCTCAGCTAAGGAATAATTCTTCCCCTGGAATTATAAAGAATTTCTAAAACAGACATACTTATTAGAATACAGAATTTTTCAAGGTACAAATGCTGTTCTAAGATTTCTTTCTGGTCTAAATGTATCTTTTTCTTCATAGTAGCATTCTGGTTAATATTGCAAAGTTTTTAGTCTTTCATCTTTTCCTTTTTTTTTTTTTCTTTTTTTTTTTTCCTAGGTTATTCAACAGCGGAATGAGGAATGTGACCACATTCAGTTTTTAATTGAAGAGAAAGAATCTAAAGAAGAGGACTACTATGAGGACCTCGACAGATTTGAAGAAAATGGTACCCAAGAGTCTCGCATCAGTCCATATACTTTCTGCAAGGCTTTTCCTTTCCATATAATATTTGACAGAGATCTGGTGGTCACACAGTGTGGCAATGCAATATACAGAGTCCTTCCACAGGTTAGATGATTCTTTTACATTAATAGTCATGGAGAGTTCTTATACTAGATCATGCAGGTGGTTTTTTGTTGTTGTTGTTGTTTTTTCCCCAAAGATTAATAAAACAGGTTTAGGATTTTCTGTCTAAAGAACATCCCCATGTATAATAACTACTGTATTGTGCTCCTGTTGTTTGAAAAAGGACTTTGAAAAGTAGCCCTTAACCTACAGTAGCTCTGTTCCTTAAAGATCATGTCTGTAATGTGCAGTAACAGACCAAGGAATACGCTTGAACGGAGAATAATTTTCCTGCCTTTTTTTGCATGTGTGATTTCCTTCTGGATTTTGCAGAAAAATCTGAAAGAAGAGCTTTGTAAATTCTTCTCAAGGTCATTCACTGAACAGCTGTAACTGTTTAGCCTACTGAGGATGGCTATCAGGATCGTTACAACCAGACAATGCTCTTGAGAAAATGGCTTATCATTGAAAAGAATGTTTGAGGAATGGTAGTTATGAGGAAAGCTTTTTTTTGTCTGAGAAGCTTTCTTACTTTTTTTTTTTTTATAGTGGGAATAGTTTGACAGATAATTAATATGAAACAACGTAACACAATTTTACAAAGTCATCTTGCAGGCTAGAATTGCATTTTGAAGCCAACGATACTTTTGTTGTAAAATCCTTAATTTGAAAACCTTAATTTGTTTGTGTCCTAATGGAGAAATGCATCACGTGTATATTCTCTTCCATTCAGTACTGTAATTTAAGCAAATTGAATATAATTATTCCATGTATTCTTTTATTGTAATGTAATTCAATTGTTTCTTTTTGTGTTTTTTCTTTACCTTTCAGCTGCAACCAGGAAATTGCAGTCTTTTGTCAGTGTTCTCCTTGGTCCGGCCTCATATTGATATTAGTTTCCATGGGATCCTCTCACATATCAATACAGTCTTCGTACTGAGGACCAAGGTAACTAGAAAATATTCACTTGGCATTTCTATAAGTAAGTAGGCTTTGGAGAGAAAAGAAGTATGGAAAAAGCAGAAGTCTTCAGAGAACATAGTAGTAAGCTTGGATCCTTATGAGTCTTGAGCCAAGAAAAAAATCACAGATCTGAATTCAGTGTGTTAAATTGACTTAACTGCTGAACAGGAGTGGTGAAGTACTTATACTTCTCATCTGAGGCTTTCCTGGCAAGAAGCCAAACTCATACATAACAATTTACTGAAGGAAAGGAAGGGCTGTTGCATTTAGTTTTACTTAATTATGACAAAGGAGGCAAATATGAAATGTGTTATTACCATTTGGGCCGATACATTCATACGCAATTCTATGTCCTTTTCTCTAGAGAGAACAGGAGTGGGGAGGCAGGCAATATGAAACAATGAATGCAGAATGTAGAGTTGCACCTACTATGCTAAAGAACTTCCTGAGAGAAGCCAGCAAAACTTGTTAGTCATTCTGTGAAATTCATAGAATAGACAATCTTTTTGTCAAACTATTGTGAAGAGAAGCTATGAACTTGAAATTAAGGAAAAGACGCCATGATTTGTATCTCTGAAGCAGAATATCAGTGTTGAAGTGAGGACAGTGTTTTGTTTTCAAGTGATAATTGGGTTTTAAGATAAGGTGTAACTATTTCAGACATCATGATGACCTTCATAGTGAAGGCATTTACACAGATGTGAAGTAACACATATACCAATGCAATAATAATTGTGATTATTTTTTTTTTCACCAGGAGGGGCTGTTGGATGTAGAGAAGCTGGAGTGTGAAGATGAGTTGACTGGCACAGAAATCAGTTGCTTACGCCTGAAAGGGCAAATGATCTACTTGCCTGAAGCAGACAGCATTCTCTTTCTTTGTTCACCAAGGTACTTTAAACAATAAGAGTTGTATAATACTGCTTTTCATTTTACAGTTACTGATTTTATGAATATCTATGAGAGTAATGTTACCGAGATTAATTGGCTTGGGTATGGATTTAATAGATTTTGTTGTGTTTATATGAAAAGAAGGAGGAGCACTTGAACATTGGAACTTGGATGTTTATGAAATAATTCAGTATAAGCACTGGGATGCTCTGGCTTAGTTTGGACGAGTGAGAATTCCTCTATTCAGCAACGTTTGGAAAGTCTTAATGTTTGTTTCTTATTCTGAGAATGCTGAGAAATGTCACTGATTTGGTTTCCTATGAGGATTCATATATTTTTTTCAGTAATTTTAGTGTAATAGAGCAGTGCTGTTTATGAAGAGTGTGTTTGGAATTAGGGTTTGAATGGAGGGCTTTAGCTAAATGCTCATTGAGCTAATATACCAGACTTGCACGTTAACCTTGTGTATAAAAGTGATACAGAGAGTGGATGAAGACAGAAAGATGCTACCTTAACATAATCTCACTTTTATTTGTGCACTGAAGAACGTGCGTTTCGTATGTTCATGGAACTCACGAGAATTCTATATTTAAATGCAAAATCAAGAGCTGTTTTAACACAAGTGAACTCCAAGGATTTTGTGGAAGGAATACTTTATACAGCTCATCAGATTTTTAGAACTACATTTTTTTTCTCGTATTTCACATTCTCTGCTGTTCATCTGAGATTTAAGTGTTTCTTTGTCAAGCTTAATTATACCCCTATCTATCTACTCATGGCTGTCTATTTCTTCGCATTGTAGTGTTATGAACTTGGATGATTTAACCAGAAGAGGGTTATATCTGAGTGATATTCCATTGCATGATGCTACCCGTGATCTGGTTCTTTTGGGAGAGCAGTTCAGAGAGGAATATAAACTGACTCAAGAGCTTGAGATCCTCACTGACAGACTGCAGCACACACTACGTGCACTCGAAGATGAAAAGAAAAAGACAGACACGTAAGAAACAAATCCTGATTTTTGAGCTGAAACAGTCACAGCAATATATTATTTATAGGTACCTTTTCATAAAATAAAAAAATCTTGGAAGAACATAAAAAATATTCAAGGCCAGTAATTTTGAAGTCAAGAAAGAACATTTCACTTCAGTTCCTTAAAGGGTTTTGTTCTTAATTTAGATAGTCATATGTCATCTGCAGTGTAGGCTGCCACCTACATGAAAATAGCTGTTTTGATGGCTCCTTCCTTTATAAGTAGGAAGAGGAGAAGTGAACCAACAATCCTTTTTACTTTGCTAATTAACCTAAAACAGTTTTGCAAACTTTCTTACCTGCCACCTAGTTGATAGATATGGCAGAAACGCTCAAGCAGTAAGCAAAAATGATCCAAGACTCTATTAACAGATCTTGTCAGAAGAATTAATAATGTGTGTGTTACGTAAAGACCTTGCTCAACATTCTTTCTATTTTGCCTTTCTTGCTGACCAATTTAGATTACTGTACTCTGTTCTACCACCGTCGGTGGCAAATGAGCTGAGACACAAGCGTCCTGTTCCAGCTAAGCGATACGACAATGTCACCATTCTCTTTAGTGGCATTGTTGGATTCAATGCTTTCTGTAGTAAGCATGCCTCTGGAGAGGGAGCTATGAAGATTGTTAATCTTCTAAATGATCTTTACACGAGATTTGATATTCTAACTGATTCACGAAGGAATCCATTTGTTTACAAGGTAAGCAGTAGATTTTCGAGTAACTTAATCTGTGATTTTTCAATAAGTTACTCTCATGTTGCTCTTTTCCATCCTTTGGAATGTAGGCGTTTACCAGTCTTTGAACTGCATTGCCTGATACTACGTAGCTAAAGAGGAATATGTTGTTTAGCTCTCTGTGAAAGAACACAGTCTGTAGTTTTTTGCAGTCTTTGTGCATAGTCACCTGTTAGTTGGATACATTGATTTGCTTCCACGTTCAGAAGATGTAAAAATTTATGTAAGCAATTTGCTGTAAGTCATATACCTGGGCCTCCTAGCTGTAAGCTATAATTTGTGATTCAGTTATTCAGTTTTATTCCTTCAATAGTACTGAGGTTTAGTTGCAGATATGGCTGGTAGGAGTTAGATAAGTAGATAGATGTGTAGCCCGTATATACAAGGGCTGCTCCAAAAGGAATGCCTTCTGTTTATTATGTTGGCCCGTGACATCAGAGATGGATGTTGATGGTATGGCAGTAGATGTTGAACCTTTCTGCCAATTACTTGTTAGTGCCATGTAACAGAGGGCAGCAGAGGGGCAGTCTGCAAAATGATGTCTGAGATGGAAATGCGTTTGAAGCAAAGATGTGGCATTGAATTCCTCCATGTGGAAAAAATGGCACCCGTTGACATTCATTAACACTTGCTGAACGTTGATGGAGACCAAACAGTAGATGTGAGCACAGTGGGTTGGTGGGTGGTGCAGTGGTGACAACAACAAAGGGTCACCTCTGCTGGGGAAGATTTTTATGATTGTGGCATGCAGGCTCTTGTTCATTGCTGGAGAAAAGGCATAGCTCATGGTGGTGCCTGTGTTGAAAAATAGAGTTTTGTAGCTGAGAATTTGCTCTTATCAAATAGTGTTATTGTGCTCTTTGTATCTGTTATAGTTTCCATGGAAATAAATACAAGGCATTACGTTTTGAGTACGTACATGTATATGCTTGTGTCTTTATGTGTATAAAAGCCATTGCTATTTTTTACTCTAAATTAAACTTATGTCCTGTACCAGACAAATCAAGGGTGAGTGAGAATAAACATGGCCATACAAATTCCAGAATACTCCAAAAAAGAGGCTGAAGTTCACATAATCACTGTCTTTGTTATGTCGTTGAAATATAACAAATTCTTATCAATTACAAGCAGATATTTTTGGAATTAAGATTTTTTGAATGTAAGTGTAGGGAAAACATTTGAAAGGATAGTCTTTGAAGGGAGTGCTATGTCCTTTTATTGTCCATGATAATAAATGGAACAATATGTACCTTGCTAGGTGGAAACAGTTGGGGACAAATATATGACTGTGAGTGGTCTACCAGAGCCTTGCATTCATCATGCACGATCTATCTGCCACTTAGCATTGGATATGATGGAAATAGCAGGCCAAGTTCAAGTTGATGGGGAGCCTGTACAGGTTAGTAAATGTGTGGGCGTGAATGAAGAGCCCATTCTTTTATATGATTATGCTTTGAAATATGATAATACTAAAATCTCTTTCCATGTAAATGTATTATTTTGAGATAGATCTCTATAAATAATATGGAGAGTCACATGTAGATGTGGTATTGGCAGTTCCCCAGACCCTCAAATGCAGTTGCTGTGCTTAACTATTTAAATAATTAGATCCTCATCATGTATGTTTGTTTTCTGATCTTTTCAACCTATTCAACAAATTTGCATTTTGCATCAAGTACAATTAGTTGAGTCTTTTTCATCTCAATGAATACAACAATAGTATTCCCTCATTGACATTTTCAGTCATGCTTGTGATCCTACCAGCATGGGAAAATATTGCATTAAGTAGAAAAATCCATTTCCATAGGTAGTTATGGCAGTGATTCCAACAACAGTGTATGTTAATGGAAGTTCTGTTGTTATGGACTTTTTAAATATGCTGTTGCATTAATACAGAGTTGGTGAGACTGCATTGACTTGTCTTTATCAAAAAGCTCTGAGGACAAAATAACTAGTTGTGATACGTATTGTTATTTAGCTGAAATCTATTGCTCTAAGACCTAACTTAGGTCTGTCTATTTCACCTTGTCAGCGAGCAAGGAAGTGAGGAGGTTTCATATAGGGTCTTTCTTCTGAGAAGTAGTCTTTTCTTGGTCTAAACCATCAATTTCTGCAGCTGCTGAGCATTCATCAAACTCAGACCTACAGGGTATTTCTCTCTCTCCACTTTTACTTTACAGCATATAATAGCAGCATGGCGTGGTGCATGTTGGAAAAATACAAGGTTTGTTCTTTCATGTGGGAGGTAGAGTCACGGCAATACAAAGGAAAAAAACCAACAAAAAAAACCATGAAGAAGCCAGAGAAATGCAATGGAAATAAAACTAGTAGGCAGAAACTGCATAATACCTGTGTTTAGTTGGAAGCATGAGATAAGCTACATTTATTTTGAATATTGAAGCCTTATTTTTTCTCTCTAAAGATAACAATAGGAATCCATACTGGTGAGGTAGTCACAGGTGTCATAGGCCAAAGGATGCCACGTTACTGCCTGTTTGGAAATACTGTCAATTTAACAAGCAGGACAGAAACTACTGGAGAAAAGGGAAAGATCAATGTCTCTGAGTATACGTACAGGTAAGCGATTCACTATTGTTAGTGGTGTTGACACTTAAAAAGAAATCACTTTTTCAGTGTAAAATTGATGTGCCTCTGGAATTGATAGCGATGGGGCATTGTTAACACACTTTTTAAGTGCATGAGTTCTGATGGAACTGTGTGGCAGACTGTATTATGATGCATGATTGTTGGTATGCAAATATAATAATGATCTAGAGATAGACTCGATGCTTCTATTAATTTGCTCAAATTTGTGTATGCTTAATATTTTAAATTGTGTATTGTTTGCATGCATACAATTACATGTTTTCTCTTTCCATTCTCAGGTGTCTTATGACACCAGAAAATTCAGATCCTCAGTTCCACCTGGAATACAGGGGTCCAGTTTCTATGAAGGGTAAAAAAGAACCAATGCAGGTTTGGTTTTTGTCCCGAAAGAGTACAGAGACAGAGGTATGACTAACCAAAGTGTATTTTTCTTTTAAACGAGTTATAAATATGACAAATTTAATCTAAGCCACTGAGATCCATTTGCATTTGCAAACTAAATGTTCCCTGGAAGAAATGAACAGTTTTGTACAACACTTTTATTAACGCATTTACTATTCTTGACAGCACATTGAAGTCCTTGATTATTTGTCTGTGAAGTTTGTGCAGACCCTGAGGGAATACTTTCATATTTCAAGAGGTCCTTGAGGGAATGCTGGTGTTTAAATATAAATATCTCTTTATGTACAGATTTCTCCACTGTGCTAGACTTTGCAATACAATGCCCATCATATAATGTTTAACCGATGTCTGGTTATCAGCACTTTGAAATTTACCAATTCTGTGAGTGAATAAATGTGCCTTCAGATATTTAGGCAGCAGTCCAACAACTACACACAGGCAGGTTCGAACCTGGTGTGTGGGGTGTTCTGTTAACCTCAGATGGATCTTCTTGCTCACAAATTGTTGTGTGATAAAGGTCTTACTTCAGAAATATACAGAATAAAAATATGTCTTCTGATTGACATATGAAACTAAATCTTCTTGTGAGAATGAGAATAGGGCGAGGCTCTTTAAGCACTAAGTTGTCTTTGAGCTTCTGTGATCATTTCAGAAGTTTGCACATGTAGTAACCAAAATCTTATTAAAAAACAATGAGATTTAGACTCAGAAATAGACTACGAAGTTTTACATTTAATCACATTGCTTTGTGCCAGCCTAGCAGGTGTACATTCCACCTATTGCAAACAGGGAGAAAAAAATATCTGAAAGTAATATGCACAGCCTGAATTCTATCCAAAAGTAATACAAAACATTTTAAGCTAACGTATTTAATCTAAGAAATACTGACTAGAATAATGTAAGTCATCAGTTCCTTCACTGAACATACAGGCCACAGGGACTTAATTGCACTTCTGAATCCTTGTGTGCCTCTGAAAATGAAGTTTAGACTGTTAAACCGTTATGGCCCTTTAGAAAAGATTTAATACAACTGGTAGCCAGGTGTATGAATATTGACTGTTTAATGGTTACCCTCAATATTAACTCTCACTATTAAACTTCAGGGAACAGCCTGTATTTTAACTCCGCTGAAGTCTGTATTTTAGTATATATTAGTTGTGCTAACATTCTGGGTGCCACTTTTGATCCTACTGTTATGATTTTGTTTTATATCAAGGTTAAATGTAACTTCATATGGCTGCTGTTCTTTCAAATCCATACTTTTATATGAAATATGCATAACTAAGCACCTTAGACTTATTCTTTCTGCATTATAAATTAAGTCCTATCATTTGTATTGGGAATATTATAATGTTAAATGTCAAGCTTCAGAAAAGTATTGAGTCAGGTGCATATTTTCCTTAGTTCAGCTTCACATGTGTTTAGAGTTCTAGAAGTTGACAATTTTAAATATTGCAACTTCTTTTTAGAGAGCTTGTAAAACAGCTGGTTTTGTTAATTATGACAACAGCCCTGACAGGTACTTGCTGTTACTATTGTCTAATAATTCAGCTTTGTAGAGAGGAACATAGGATAGAAAAATATTGTCAGTCTGGTTTTTGGGAGCACATAATATCACAGTTTAAGCACACTTGAAAAGTCTCTCTTAATTTGTGTTAGGCTTTTTTTTGTATATTAAATTCAGACATACATATATTTCTCATACACACAAGGACTTCTCCCATCGCAGGTGTCTCTTTTTTGTTGTACTAAGTTTTGGAGAATAGGAAACTAGAAGGATAAGTTCATGAAGTGTATGACACTGATAATCATTTTTTTCAGAGGTGATTTTGAAAAGTGGAAGAAGATAATCTTATAACGGTCTTTTCATTCTTTTCCACTCCCTGCACCATTTCATCTGTTCACAAACAAAAAGATGCACTAAGGTTTCCTCCTTTAAGATGCTCTGAACCGTTGTTATTTCTGACACATTATAGGCTGCATATAGTAGTGGTAATCCAAAAGCAGAAATCAAATAAACACCTTTTTATGTTTGATTACCTTATTGTAATTACTTTGCTAAGGTACAGTTTTGGTTGTCTTTTCAGATACTTATTCTATCTTTCAAACACACGTGTATTCTTATGATTAGTATCATTTGCAGGGTGATTATCAGTGGGCGCCATTCATAATAATTAATATGGCATGTTAACATCTCTTAAGAATCCATGTGGTAAATAAATGTCTTGAGTGGTCACTCCCTGAAAATATTTCTTAAATCTGTTTGAAGATATTTTCTCTGATTGTTCTTTTATTGTGAAGTTTTCTATCTCCAGTATGTTTAAATCTAGAACTGATTCGTATTAGTGGTACACTCCCTTTTTCTGTTACACCTATGAAAATGGCAATCTCATCATTTGCATATCTGTTAGCATAACAGATAATGAAGCCCAGTGATCAGTATATGATAGGGGAAGTGGAAAAAGTGCTTACAGCTGACACAGCGATATAAAACCAGTGCTTAAAATATGCTGTCTTCACTGGGCATGTAGAATGTCATCAGGTTGGAGCAACTCAGCATACTTCAGACTTTGTTCCTAAGTTGGCATCTCTATTTTTCCCTCTTAAGAACTCTATTCCATAATACCATTCCAGCAATATTCAGAGCTGCATCAGAAATATACATAGAACCAAAGCAACCGTGACTTGTCTGCTTGCTTGCATGAACAGAGGTTCACCTGCAACTTCTCTCAGGAGGAACACATTTGTTGTAAATCCTAAAGCATGCAGAGAACCTCAGATGCCTGACTGTGGTTTCCATCTGTCCCCACTTCCAAATATGTTTCTCTTCTCCCATGTCCCCAAATTACTTATGGGAGCAAGTCAAAATATCTCCAGTAGTCCCATCAGGGAATGTAGGAGTTGTTACATTCCTACGTACAACACATACAAAAGAAATGTGTGTGTTACCTATGCTCTGTTCTGTTATTTACTAATACTGGTTGCAAGTTGTCAAACATATTTTGTCACTGCACTGATCCACTATGTTGCTGCTTCAAAGAAAATCCCTTACTTTTCAAATTCTACTTGCATGCATTCAAGGAAACAAAGCAAGATGCTTTCTGAGCTGAGGGAAGAGGAGAAGGATCCTGAACAGGGTGCAATACTGTCTCCAAATAGGGAGCCAGGCAGTAAGGATGAATTATGAATGTTACTTTACTTCGTATCTCCTATTGTTATGTGCAGTACCATTGTCTTCTGCTCTTGTCCTGAAATCGTACTCACCATTTTCTTCCAGGCATGCTTGCTACTTTTTCCTTAGTGTTTGGTACTCTCTCTCTGCTATGAGCATGTATTTCAGGCTCTTTTTTTTTTTTTTTTTTTTAATATGCATTTTTGCATGTCAGTCCTGTGGCCCTTCCTATCACCAGTTATTACTGAATGAAATTGTATAATATGCATGCCACATCTAACCACTCAATCTGATGCTTCACATCTTCATCTTCATCTCTGCGGTACAGTGGTTGCATAAATCAGTGACTTTTCTGGGAAGACAGGAGGCATTTCAATTTTTTGGCAGAACAAAGAACCTAAAGAACTATTTGTAAAAAGTGGTACATAAAGCATCATTATGGAAACTACTGCATAAAACTTGTCTATCAGATTTACTTCTGCTACGACCATGCTTCCTGTTCGTATTGCAAATAGCACTTGATGCGCTGTTGATTCCTGTTTAGAAAAATGGTACCTTTTGATGTCATCCAGCATTTTGGCTTTGTAGACACTATGTAAACATTTTCTGTATTGAAATGGGGCAGTTGTTTGTCCAACACTGCCATCCGAAGCTTGTGCCAATGTACTTTTACTGAAATGCTTTTCGTTTTCAATATATTTTTCATTGATTTATATTAACTAAATGAAGTTGTCATGTTAATAATAGATTGCTGGACTGTTGTAGGCCATCACTAGTGCTCTAATTCTTTTCTGATAGAGCCTTCAAAATTGACAGGCGTACTGCCAGGACAGGGTTGTCGTGGTTGCCTTTTGTTTTGGTCTTTGAATTTCAGAAATGATTTTATTTTATACCTTGGGAGAACCTGATTGTATTCTTGGCATCGTGGCATAATTAAGAGATTGTAAGCAGACATAGTAAAATTAGATGAGATTGCAGATGCTTCACATTTTTAACATACAGTGCATTTTTGTGTGTATAATATCCATTCTTATGTCTGGCATTTTCTGAATATTTGCATTATGAATTAGAATAGTGCAATTACTTTGTGTATAAGAGTTGTCTGTACCCAGTATACTTTATCAGCACAGAATATATATGTATAAATGTTTCATGTTAATGTGAGAAATTGCAATAAATTATTTTTTCCACTGATTTTTAGAAATTCTGGGGTTTTATTTTCAATGAAAGTTGCATTTTAGTGTTGCATTTGATATGAAAGAAGCACATTCCCCATTCTGCAATTCTAGGTTCGCATTTAAATAATTGCTTGAGTCCTTATTTCAGTATGTGCGTATGTTCAAGAGTCTCCTGTATTCAGGTTCCTGGATCACATCCTCAGTTTAAAGTAGTGTTCAAAATGTGTGTAGTAATACTCCAAAAACAGAAATACTTAACAATCAAAAATAATTGGCCGTCCACTCTGAGCAGGATGTGCATTGCCAAGCAGAGCTTTAAGAATGGGAAACAAAGAGGGAGAGCTGCATACAGTCTTTTGCATCACTCACTGCATCAGAAGTTCTTCCTAGCACTCTGTGAAAGATTGCCCTGCTGTCTATGCAGCAGCTCTTTGTCCTTCATGTTGATCAAGCCTGCCAAAACTTTAATGGTGATCCCTGGACATGAGATTTGTGACATCTATATCTATGGTTGTATAGAAATAATACAGAATTATATAGAAGTATGGTTGTATGGCATAGAAATAATTGATGCAGAAGACTGTGAAGTAACTGAGATGTTTGTACTACACTTCAGGATGACTTAAGATGACATGCCAGAAACTCAAATAGTGCTCTGAGTTTATCATTTCTTAATAATTTCAAAGTGTTAAAGCTCCTGTTAAGCTACTCTGTAGCATAGCCAATTTCTTAAAGCACTAGAAACTCATATGTTAAGTTCATCTAAGTGCTTTTTATCTGAAGGAAATCAGGTTAATTTAAGCATTTGACCATTTTTGTTATTAAAATTAATCTTCAGGTAAATGCTGAGCTCAACAGCTAAAAATAAAATTTGATCAGATATTTCTCTGTACTTAGTTCTTTCACATATGCTTTCTTGTCTCTGATTTAAATACAGTGATCTACTTTCACAGTACAAGTTCTGTGGTTGAAACATGAGGCAAAATACTTACCTAAGTCTGTTTCAAAGAAATTTGTAAATCAAGTAATCTTCTGGATCAAATACTTTTCTCTGAATTCAGATTCACAGAAGAATTTACATTTCCATGGTATTACTAACAAAGCTTAGCCTTGCAGAGGACTCCACTCCTTAGAGTTAGTGCTGTAATTGACTTGAGTAGTCTGAGTGCTGTTAGTGTTTCTTGGATAATATATATATACTTTTTATCTGTTACAGGGCTTGAAAAACAGCAGGACTCTTACTAGCTTCAATAAACACTTAGCAAGTTTAATAAGCACATAGTGTCATTCTTTAGAAGTTACATTATAAATGCTCACAACCCAGTGAGGTGATTTAATAATATGGCCTTTGTTTATAGACCTTCCCCATGCAGAATTCCATAAAATCTTGGCTTTTTAAAATTAAAAGTGGCTAGGCTGATATGTCTAATAAAAACTTGCCCAGAGGAGTTTTAATTCATCCTTCCCTATCTGCTGCTGTAGGGCTGTTATTTTTTCAGTTTTGTGGAGGAAATTTCCATTTTTGTTGTTCACAAAGGCATCGTTAGCACCCAAATATCCATCTGGCTCTTTACATATCTATATTTCTATGGCCTTTATCTATATATCACTGCACACACAAATAAAGGACATCCCTCAGGCATGAAGATAAAGGTGTAAAAAAAATAGGTTGAGATTTTCGTGACCTGGTTGTGGTGTTTAATGTAGGCTGGAGTGCAAAGTTTATCTGGCTAATTACAAGCTCAGGTTTGAAAGACGATCATATACAGAAGAAGGAAATAGGAAACAATATGGTAACACTTGATATGAATAAGGGATGGGTGGACCTGAAGACCTCAGAGCATTTTCTATGAATAAAACTCCTGTAAAATCTAAAGCAAACAAATGTGAATATGCTGCAGCCTAGCTATGCACTGCAATGTACACCTGGAACATTGATAGCCATTTCAATAACACTTATCTCCATGGAACAAGAGCAGGGTCTGGGGCACCCACATGCTGATGGTTTCAGTTCACTATGGTAATAGTGTATTCTATAGTATATGTATGATTGCCACAAAGTGTAACATGGTTATGGAAGGGAAAGAAAGGGAATGGGAAGGAAAAGGGGAAAAATGCTTATGGGGTATAGTAGGTGAATTCTGTCACTGTGTTGGCTTATCCTCTCCAAGCAAAGGAAACTGAAAAAAGAAAGAAAAAAAGGTTCGATTCACCAATTTAAAACTGCACATAAAAGGCACTTTTTTCTCTATTATTATTCAGACCTCTGACCAGCTTTGGATGTCAATTGTGGAAAACCTGCAACAACATGTGCTGTCTCCACCAAATCACTCTTTTTATTATTAGAAGGAAAAGGCTAATGTTTGTTTTCATCATAATGGTCATTGGGTCCTTCTGCCAATGTGACATATTTTGGAGATAAAGATGACCAGAAATGTAGTAACATTTTTTAAATTATTATTTTGGAATAAAGAAACTTACCCTCTGTTAGAGAGATTTTGTACTGCAGACTCTTCCATGGATACCATATCCTGCAGTCAGATTGACATTCCCTTTCTTAATAGCTTCTTTTCAGAAGTGGTTGTGGAGATTTCAATGCATGTAAAACACTGAATGCAAGTTCTAGGTTACAGTACAATTGTACTCTCCAGGGAAGTGATTTTGTGTGCCAGCACACATTTATTTTACCTGTTCATATTCTGGACATCTGGCATTAAACCTGTGCATTTTTTTTATATATTGCAGATTGTCAGGGTGATTCTAGCCTTCCAAAACTGATTTTACACTCTGATAAATGTGGCATCCTGTCTAGAGCTCAAGCAACAGACTTGTGATAAAATGACAGAATTCAGCTGAGTGGAGAGAAAAGACTGAAGGTATTAAATAGTTTCTCACAGTTGTTAATCATGATCCCAAACTGGAGAACAATTAACTGAACAGTTCCTAAGCTTAGTTAAAGAAACAATAACAAAACAAAAAGGCCACCACTAGGAAAAAGCCTCAAAGTCTACATGGTCATAGTTTCCAGAAGAGAAATAAAGCTGCCTGAGTTCAGTGTAACTTCAGCTCTTTCATCAACACAAAAGCACAATGTTGTAACACACTGCATGAAAAATCAAACCAGCTTCATAAATCTCAGTGAAATACCCAATGTACTAAGTGTGAAGAAACACACATCCATTTCTACCAAGTCCTAAACACTGGGTATAATATTCTTGGAAAGAAAAGAAAGGTTATGTCCTGTCTGGTTTTTTCCAGGTATTTTGTGCAAGTCAATGTAATGGCAATTTTCATATGAAAAGTACAGGGAAAAAAAAAATCATTCTCAACAAAAGGACTGTATGAAGAGGTTGAAACGTAAGTATCCCTTTTTATTTTTCTTGAGAGGGTATGGCGAATCATTCAGAGATGTGGCAGCCTGTACATGAAACCAAAGCCTTGCTTTCCGTCACATATAGGAGTAATTGTGGGCGTTTATGAAATGATTTAGAGGGTGAGACGACTTAACCACAGAGGACATGCTGCTTTTCACAAAGACTTCCTTTCCTGCATCATCCTCAGTGTATATACATCCCTATACATACAGCTTGTCTGAACTTCTGTGGAGGCTACATTGCTCCTTTCCTTGCTGCCTCAGCCTGTATCAGGGAGAAGGATGACATTCATTAGGTCTATAATACAAGTACTACTGTAATACAAGTAATACTGTAATAATCCCAATAAAGTGGGCTCTTGAATTGCTCCTGCATTCCCTCTTTTCTGGTTAACGTAAAATGTGGAAGCATCCTTAGAAGCACAATTAGGTTATGGGAAAGGGTAAGGGTATGGCTAAGAACAGGAGGGGAACACTTGAACTCCAACTGGAATTCAAAAAAAAGGCTCTCAGATCACAAACATTGTTTTGTCATCTACAGCTCGTACCAAATGTAGGTTTGTTGTTCATCTAGAGATGTCAGTATCTTCTTAAGCTGCAATTAACTCCAAGACACCAAGAAAAAGTCAGCATTTGTTTATGAAAGGCTGTTCAATAGGCTTTTCACTTAGTGCTATTATTGAACATTGTTGACCTTCCCACTGTAGTTACCTGTGGGTGAATGTTGCCCTGTATTTTCAGTTGGAAAACAGCACTACAACTGTAGGCAATCTCCACTGTCTTGCATTCCCAGATGTGTCACATTCAAACTGCAGTACTTCCTTATCTAAAAACAATTTTCCTGGCACTGAAGTGCCGCAGCACTAAGAAACATTGCTTTCTGATAGAATGCCATACCCTGTGAAAAGGAGCCAAACCGAACCCAACATTTTTAAAAGTCTCTGATCTGTTTTCTCACGACGCTTTCTTCCTTTCTGACCTCACCAGGCTAAAATCTCTTCAATAAATTGTTCAGAAAGAAGCAGCAAAACAAAGAGCTACTGCCAAGCTGAGACCAGGCCCATTCGCCTCATCCCCGTCCTTTTGTTCCTGCCTAATGGCAGAGCCTGGTCTCTGTCGGATGACCTCATGGTTTCTAATTAACTGCAGAAAAAAAAAGCTGCCAGAAAATCTATATAGAACATTTTCACCCTCTTGAAGAAAACAGAAAGCGTGCCATTCTAGGCTTGTGTCTGCTCCTGAGGGCCCTGCTCAGCTCAGAGGACAAAGCCACAGCTCCCGCTCTGTGCACGATGCCCTTCTAGCCCTTTTTTTTTTATTACAAAGACTGTTCCACCTCCCCTGACACAGCTCCATGCCGTTCCCTCAGCCCCTGTCACTGTTCCCAGAGAGCAGAGCTCAGCACTGTCCTCCGCTCCCTGTGAGGAGCTGAGCCACCATCAGGCCTCCCCTCAGCCTGCTCTGCTCCAATCTGAACAATCAGGGGACCTCAGCCACTCCCTCATTCTCTCCCTACAATAGCATCTCTGTTGTTCATCCCATGATTAAGAAAACCAAAATTCTGCCAGTGACATCAGCCTCAGTGCCACATTTGCATCAACTAGGTCTGCCTGTTCCTTTCAGTGAATATTATTCACTGCTAC